TGACAAAGAACAAAGGTAATTAGAATAAAATTAACTTAATTATCATCTTCATGATCTCGTGTTATATTAAAACTACACATGCCTTAAATAATTTTTTTTTTAAATTCAACATTAAAATAAGTAGATCGAAAATGCATGCTAAGCTTGCATCCTACTACTGATTAACTGAAAGTGGCAATCCCTAACGTGAAAATTAACAAGAAAAACACTTTATTAATAATAAAAAAAAGGATGGTTGTGATATTCGTTGGTAGCCTGGTAAAAGAAATTGAAGTAACTGGTTAAAATTACATGGAAGTGTGATATGCAGATATATCACATGTTAATTTTCTTCTTTAGAGACACGGGAATTTTTGACATTTTTGTTAATTTAGTTTGTATATAGTTTCAGCCTATACAATTAACCCAGAAAGTCATTTAGATTTCCTTGTTCTAATTGCTTTGTCACTTTGTTCTCTATAGTAATGTCTGTTCTGCTCAAGAGGATATTATTAGAATTATATTATCCTTTACTGGCCTAATTGATGTTGTTTATATGTAACATCCGACCAATGCTTTCAGAGAACAAAAGTTACGAGGTGATGCTGCCAACTGCACGAGGTTACCCGCTGAATTTAGGCGTACTTTCTTGGTTTAGTACTACTTAGTAGGCCTCCTTCGGGCAGGTTTGACCATGAATGAGCATCCGTCCATTGTTAGCTCATGTTGATCGCTCGTCTAGAGCAGCGTCTCTTGTGACTAAGGAGACCGACATGAGAGTGACAGTCCCGGTTGCAGAGGTCACATATGTGCGTTGACGCTGGTCTGTTTGCTGCCTGTTCCTTTTGATGCGCTCGCTTCTCTTCTGCCGCCACCGTCAATTTCGCGGATGTAAGCCTGGGCATTCTGATATGGGGGACAGGCTGTTGCCCACGCAACTTCGCCCCCCCCCCCTCTCCACCTCGATGACGGTGCCAAAGGAACAGCAGTGCTGATACAGTTTGGTATCAACGCGGTCGCAGGAGCTGCCAGAACGGGTTGGAATCAACGTCGGACTGCCTTCGGGGCTCCGACTCCAGATTTTTCCTCGAGGTTCTCTCCTGAAGCCTTCCTAGTTCTACTTAGAGATCGTCGATTAAAGATTTTGTTCAAGAAGAATCATAGTGTTTTTAAAAAATCAACGGAAGTCGATCTCGATAGAAAAAAAAAAAGCTGTGGAGCTAAATACATTCTAATAGAAACGATTGTCTTATCACGTGCGCAAGTAAGTATACTATGTTATAGTATGATTTCTTTTTGTTTGTTTGATAATAAAGGTTGTATTAATTTCTACCAAATTTGTCCAGTCTAGTTATTTCATGCACTCTACGAAAGGTGTTAAGTTATCAGATTCAGAATTACACTCCTTATTTCCTAAGCAAGTCTATCTGGGTCTATCTAATACTTGTCGGAATTCGTTTTTACTTGAAAATACCACAGAAGTAAAGACTTTAAGTAAATGAGTTAAACTTGATTTTCCTAAGAATGTTAGATTATTGATATGATTAAACTAGGAGAGAGAACACTCATGGTCAACTACTAAAACTAAAAGATTATTGGTAGAAAAAAACATTGACGAAACTTTACAGTATTTCTTTCCATTCATTCAGAGTTGAAATGAGGCCTGCTTGAAAACGTCAAAGTAACCTTACAACCTACATATTACCATCCATATAGCTAACCAAAAACAAACTGGATCACTAGATTTCTAATATATCTCTGCTCCATATGACAGTTAAAGAGTAACCTCACGTTCAAGGTGGTTTTAGGTATGATAGGACTATACCGAGAAACAACATAACATCCTTGACCGACAGAGTAATACCTAAGACTAGATTAACACACAATTTAGTCCGGATTCAGCAAGTTTTAGACTGGAACTATAAATAAATATAAACGTTTTGATCGTTACATAAAATAAATACCATATGACAGTGAGTAATATGATATGTACATTATAGATATACGTACCATAGGATAATGAGATAGGTGATACATATTAAATATACACTGAATATATATATATAGATTGAGAGCGAACTGTGTGATCTTTGCATAACATACCGTGTATAAGTATTATTACCTATCTGCTTGTTTCCGGTTGAAATTCTCCCCGAGGATCTTCAGAGATACAAGTCCTTTCTTCATTAAACCAGTTTATTCTTCCTCGATACAAAATTTTAGTACACAGAAGTTCCTTTGTGGTGTGACAGGACATTATTCAAGGTTGTGGGGACCAGTGTGGGTAACGATTGATCTCATGGGCATAAAGGACAGACACAAAGTATACTTGGCTGACATTGAAGACCGATGCATATTAGGGTTGGACTACTTACTACCGAGGAAGTGTGTAGTTAAATTTGATAATATGACGTTTGGGAACAGCAAAGGCCAAATTCCGGTAAGTGTTAAAAGAGAGTTTGAAATAACCAGGTGCCATAAAGCTGAAGTCAAAGTGACTGAAGGAGTTGATGATGTTGAAGTGGAAACAGGTATAGATATTAAAGCAGAGCAGGAGAAAGACCAAGATTTGAAGCCAATAATTGATTTTCTACAAGCAAGTATTTTGCGCTCTGCTTGGGAGAAGGAGTCTAGCTTAAGCCCTGTGACAAAGAACTATTAAGCCCAATGTGACCAGTTGAAGCTTGAAGATGGTATTCTTCCCCAGAGATGGGAAACTGCAGAT